CCCCCAAGTCCTGCCTCCCCACACTTGCGCACAGGACTGTTGCAGACACCCCTGCGCCTGTCCCGGGCTCGCCGGCAGCCGCGGACCCGGGACCCCAGTTGCCTACAACTCTAGTCGCTGACTTGATTCTCTTTTATATTATTTTCCTTGCAACCCACCAGAACCCAGGCCCCAGCGAGGCCTGGTGACCGAGGACCTCGCCGTCTGGGGGAGGGGTAGAAGGAAGGGTTGGGAGGGCTGGAAACTTCGTTTTGTAGAGAACTATTTTTGTTTGTATTAACTGTTCCCTGTAAGGAGGGACGCCGGTGGGAATGCTGGTCACCAGGGGGTTGATGGTGTGTAATCCGACGGAGTAAAGAGTCGCTCACTGCTGCCTCCAGGGCCTGTTTTCTTTCTGTGTTGGTGGACCCTGGGCAGGTTTGGGGTTTAAAGAGGCACCCACAAAATAGCCTTGAAACGCTTGCGCTATCAGGGCCGCCCCTTCCCCAGGCCCTTCTGAGTGAGAGCAGGTGGCCCTCTTGCAGGTTTGGCTGGCAGAGCTCGCCCACCCCTTGCCCAGTCTGAGAGGTTAGCTCCTTCCTTTCCTTAAAAAAAAAAAAAAAAAAAAATTCGGAGTGCATTGGTACTTTTCTGCAGAAGTCCAAGGGAAGTGACTCAGGGAGGATCGCAGCAGAGATGGAATTCAGTGCTCTGTGTGTAACTCCAGGGCTGCCCAGGGCGGATGTGTCCTCTCGGACCTGTTGGACCTGGAGCCTCAAGTCCAGTAGCAGGTTATGCATAACCCACAGCTGCAGGGGCGGCCGCTGCCTCCTTCCTGAGGCTGCTGCTGGCCAGAGAGTCCCCAGGTGGCCCAGGCAGGCAGAGGTGGGCAGTGCAGAGACGCAAGGCAGGCCACCTGTCTTTGCCTTCTGAAGATCAGGGAGGGGTGGCGGAGGGGACATGGGCAGCCCGGGAGTCGCAAGAGGAAGCCCCTAAGAATCCAGGGCTCATCAGATTAGGCTCTTGCTACTTGAGGACTGGGCGTGTCTCTCCAGCCCCACTCCATGTCTCCAGCCCTGGGTCACATGTCCTCCTGAGAAGGTCCGGCTTCCCTCTGCACCAGCGACGACCACAACAACGACGTACCTCTGAGCAGCCCCACAGAGTCTGTCCTGGCTCCTAACTGCTCCCACCGCCCCCACCCACAGTTACCCTCTGGCACTGGCTTCAGCCAGCTGCAGCTGCTCTTTCCAAGCTGGGGGGTTTAGACCTGAGTCCTTCCTGCAAGTCCCCAAAGCAAAGCTAAAACTGAGATGAACAAAACTTGGCCGTGGGGAGAACAAGAAATTACAGCGCAGAAAAAGAGGGGGCATTACAACTGGATCCTGAATGGGACAGCACCCCAAGGCCAAACGCCACGCCCCCCAGCCCACCTCCTCTTGGAACTCCTGTCCTCAGCACCAGGTTGCAGGGGCAGCTCCCAGCCCCGAAGGAAGTGCCTTGTTACCCTTGGCTTCCCTGCTCCATCCTCGTCTTCCTCCTTATTAATAGAAGCCCACTTAGAGGGACCCAAAGTGTCGATAAAATGAAACACATCTCTGGGCCTGTTGTGGGTAGGAGTGGCCATGTGATGTAGCAGGAGCGATGGCCGGGCTTCCAGAAGGTTCCTTAAAAGCCACTCCTCCACCCCACTCTCCACAAAGCCTCGGCTGGCCAAGTTTGGGGTTCTGGCCTTTCTCTGGTGCCCCTCCTCCTGGTCTTGAGTCAGCAGAGTGGGGGAGGAGCCACCCTGTGGCCCCCAGTAGGAGAGCCGCGGCCCCCTCAGAGGGGTGGAGCCAGGGGAGAACAGGTGCCTTTCTGAGGACCCAGCAGAGCCTGGGACACCAGCCCTGGTGCCGGCCTCTGCGCTTCTTAATGTGTGAGAAAAAATAAACCGCGATGTGATTAAAACACTGGAATTTGGGTTTTCTGTTTCATGCAGACTTAACCAATTCCTACGTTCTCGGTCCTCCCACTTGGCGTCCAGGCGCCCTAGGTCTGCTGTGGCCAGAGAGAGGTGAACACCCGCCCTTCCTTGCCGCAGCCCCTGCTGTGGCCCCCTGCCACGATGAAGACGACAGGTCGTACTGTGTTTGGGTTCTTTCCAGAACAGGACCTGCCTCTGCCTCCAGATGAGTAGAGGCCAGGCTCACCGAAACCCACCTCCAGAGAAACACCAGTGATGGCCGCAGTTTGGAAACAACAGATGCTTCCTTCCCGTCATCAAGACATTAAAATATCAGTTAGAGCCACACACAGTCATAGGTGGGTCTCTGCCTAGAAGCCGAACTCGAGGCGGGGATGGGGAGGTCCCGGCACGATGGCCAGCGCTGGCTTGACCCGCAGGGCTGAGGGGCTTTGGAGCATAGAGGACCTCACAGCATTGTTGGGGGGCTGGGGCGAGGCGTGCACCTCAAGTCAGTCAGTCCTGGGCTCCAGGCTGGCATGGGGGGCTGCGGTGGAAGCCCCCCATGCAGAAGGTGGGCAGCTGGGAGCTGTTAGCGGGCTGCTTCGGCAGCAGGGGTGCCGGACTCCCCTGTGAAAGAGCCGTGGGCCGGGCACCAACAGCTCATACCACACATACACCTCTTATGTCACCCTGGGTGTGGCCCTGGAACACTCCTGAGGGGTCTGGGAGGAGTGGGTCTCAGTGGATGCCTGCTCTGTCCTCCCTGACCTCCCTTGGCTGGGCCCAAGCTGCGTCAGCTTCCCTGGGACCGTCTGTCCCTGCAGGCCGGGGAGAGGAGCTCATTGTAAATCCGAGTGGCAGCCCTAGTCCCCGAGGACTCCTGAGGACATGGCTGAGGCCCTGACCCGGCTGGAGGGTGGAAGGAGAGTTGCCAGTGGCCATTTGCAAAACTCCGACATCCTCCAGGCAGCGGGGAGGAGAATGCAAGGTCGGCAGAGCCAACAGTCAGAGACCAGCCCTGCTTTCAGCGGTGCTCCTCGGCCCAGGGCTCACGCTCTGACGTCTGGCTCCCAAAGGCAGAGAGAAGGCTCCACAGCTTGGATCATAATAGCTGCGTCCTCAGGCGCTGTGCACGCAGTGTGGCCTTAACCCTCACCTTGACCCTAGGACAAGGTTTCCAACCTGGGCACCATTCACACTGGGGTGGGATAATTCTTCCTGCCAGGGGGCCTGGGGCTGTCCTGTGCCCTAGGATATTAGACCATCTCCGGCTTCCATGTTGCTACTAGATGCCAGTAGCACCCCCTTCCTCCAGGCTTTGCCGAATTGGGGGCAAGATTGCCCCCGGCTGAGAATCAGTGCCTTAGGAGGCAGGGGTTGTCCCACCCATTTTACAGAAGGGTGGGTAGAGCCTGGGAGAGGGAGAGTCACTTGCCTGAAGTGACAGCTGCTAAGAAGCAGGGGCAGGAGTTGAATCCAGGGCTGCCTAACTCCAGGACCCAGAGTCTCACCCCCAGGTAGGCGGGCAGCCACCCAGGGGGACCCTGCCGCGCCCCCCACCCCATCCCCGCCGCCTCCCTCCTTTGGCCCCCACAGCCCCGGCAGGCTGAGCAAGGAGCCCTGGGGAGCCTGGCTTCATCCGAACGGCTCTGCTGTCAGATGTCCCCTGTGCACCAGCCTCGCCTCACGCCTGCCCCCAGCAGTCCCCCGAATAAGCAGGACTGCTGTGTCAGCTGTTCCTGCCTGGCTGTGCCCTACAGCTCTGAGGCATTTATGGGCACCTGGGGAGCACCGCAGCATCTCCCCGCAGACCTGGGTGGAGGGAGCTCACCCCGACACCTGTACCCAAGCCTCCCCTCTCCCAGAGAGAACCCCAACCCATGCCAGCAGTCCTCGAGCCAGAAGAATTAAGGGAGAAGGCCCCAGAGATAAAAAAAAAAAAAAAAACCCACACTTATGTTTTTTCTTTTTAAAACACAAATCATGACTTGTAGGGAAATAGTGAAAAAAAAATACAGAAAAGCAAAATCATAATAATTTTTCAATTAAAATCACCCACAACTCTCCATTTAGAGCTAATAACTGTTAATATATTCTGATAGATATTTCTAGTGTTTTTCCATGAAATAAAATCCACAGACAGATATCACCCCCCAGCCGGCCATTTGCTAAGCCGGTGTGCTGAGGCGTGACATTTCTTACCGCAAGGATGCTCCCTGCGACGCTGAGAGTTACGTAGCCATTTTACAGCTGAGCACACTGAGGCTCCGGGAGGTGCCTGGCCAGGGGCCTTAGCTACAAGCACCAAAAAGCAAATCCACGTAACTGAAGCAGCAAAGATCATTCAAAGGATCATGGGATCCATGGACACAGGACAGCCAGGTGTGAGGAGGGGGCCACCAAGCCAGGAATGCTGCCCAGCATCCCACCCACAGGGGGCACTGCCCTCACCCCCGGGCCTACCTCTTGATTGCCTCCCCCCCGGGGCCCCCACCACGTGCCCACACCTTCACCTCCAGCAGTTCCCGCTCCATCGAAGGAGGTGGGCTCTCTTACCCCAACCGGAGGAAGGGGTCAAAGAAGAATGACTGTCCCCCACAGAGAAGGTGTGCAAGTTGCCCGGGGTCACACAGCCAGGAAGAGGCAGAGTCCAGTACGCAGACGCCCCCTCGGCACAGAGCCCAAGCTTATCGCACTGAGCTGCACAGCCGTCCACCTTTTCTCTTTCTCTTTTCCCTTTATTTATTAACAGCAGCCTCATCTTATACAACCTTCTTTAGCCGCTATATGAAATTTGGCACTGTATCCAGAACATCAAAGGAGGCCTTTTAAAATAAAAGAGAAATGCAACCTCCACCGTTTCATGTTTTGCCCAGCCTCTCGCCTTCTTCCCCCCAGCCCAGGGTCTGCTGGGAGCAGGACTCCAACTCCGATGGGCCCCCTGACACCACAGGGTCTGGCCAGGCCCCCAGTCCCCAGTGGCTGTGTTCCTGGTGGCGCAGGAGACCTTGCTGTCCTGCAAGGGCGGGCCCGAGGCCGGAAGCCTGCAGCCAGCCAGGTGGGCGCGCCTGCGGCGGGACTGCTCCAGCTGGCTTCTGGCCAGAGGACAGCTCCTTGCCTGGCTGAGCAGGTGGCCTTCGGGACCCAGCTGTGAGCAGCTGGAATAGGGCCTGGAGTCCCGGCATCT